ATAATTATTGTGTAAAGGACAGAATATCATATTACTCAATAAATAAATTTTTAAAAAATTATAAAAAAAAAGCTAGAAACTAATAGTCTGTGGTACAGACCCTTTTTTTAATCAAATTATTAACATCCGCCTATAACTTCGTAAATATCTTCATCTCATCGTAACCTGCAAATATTTTATTTATGAAAATTTTCAGAATTAAGGCGTTTTCAATCTGGAGGTCGTCAAAATTTGTTACTTACTTAATTACTGTTATATTACTTACTTTGTTATATACTTAATTAGGTATTAAAAACTCATAAAAAGAACTCATAACTGAAACGTTATTAACCTACAAGCGTTTTTAATCTTGAGATCGGCAAACTTTGTCTATTTTATTAGGTACTAAAAAATCATGAAAACCCATCTGCTTTCCACTTGAATCGTAAGATAATATGATCACGAAATAAGTGGAAAGCAAATGGGTATTTATGAGTTTTTAGCACCTAATTAATTAGACAAAGTAAAAGGTATAATAATATATAATTTTAATTAACGGCGTTGACGACCAACAGGTTTTCGCCTTTACCACCGCGGCCCCTTAAATAATGTTATTTCGAATTTAATATGGTTTGCTAAGATGGGCACCTGCTATCTGAGGTATTGAACACCATTGATAAGAACTAACAACAAAGAACCCCAACATCCTATGTTTGAAGAGGACAGATCTCTACACTACAAGTTCTGATCCTACGGGTCTAGTGTGTTCAGTTTCTCAGTTCTGTCTAGTTTCTCAGTTCGCTATTTGTCCAAACTCCTCCAAGACAGTGTCTGCTAGATTTAACTTTATTATTAGTTTTGTCGTCCCAGTGAGGGTTAAATTTTACACTAGAAAGTTTTCTATTTATAAACTTTAGACAATTTTCCCTAAATGTTTTACAACATTACGGTGGACAGGATGTGTATATTCGTATTTATATAGTTGAATACGAATATATTCGTATTGCAACTGGCAAAAATACAGTTTATGGATATCAATACGGCAATTCATGATAACTTAAAAATGCAACTGTATTCATAGTTACTACTGTATCCGTATTCACACTTAAACATATGAAGGTATTTTTATTGATAAGCATGAATACGGATATAATCATATTAAAAGATGTTAAATATGAATATATTTATATTCAAATTCACAGTTATGAACAGAAATATGTTTCTATTTAGAGTTGTACATATTAATATTAGGATATATTTATATTCATTCAAAAATAAATAAATGATTTGTAATCATATTTTTGAATACGAATATTATCCCATTTCTATTTTATGTCGTGTGTCCATATTTTAAGTATTCATCTATGACGGTCTAGTTACATAAATAAGATTCAGCTTTAAAATGAATTTATGAAAAGACGTCTGGCAAGAACTCATCGTAGTCCGTGGTACAGACCCCTTTTTATAAATCATTAACATCCGACTCAAACCTCGTGAATCACTTCATCTCATCGTAACCTATAAATATTTTATTTACGAAGAAATTCAGAATTGGAGCGTTTTCAATCTGGAGATGGTAAAAATTTGTTTACTTAATTAGGTGCTAAAAACTCGTAAATACCCATTTCCTTTCTACTTGAATCGTAAGATAATTTGAACACACAAACTCGAGAAAAAAAGGTGGCCTTCAAAAATATTGAGCAGTTGAGGCGTGCCCTACACCACTAATAAGTCAAAATAACGAGGTTTTATAGGTCAAATGCCCCAATATTTTTGCAGACCACATTTTTTTCTCGATTTTGTGATCAAATTTTCTTACCATCAAGTGGAAAGTGAATACAATTTTTTAGTACCTAATTAAATAGACAAAGTTTGGCGACTTCCAGATTGAAAACGACCCAATCCCGGGGAATTTTCGTAAATAAAATAGTTGTCGGTTTTGATAGATCAAGCTATTCACGAAATTTGAGGAGGATGTTAATAATTCGATAAAAATAGGTCTGTACCGCGGAATATCATACGTTAATTTTAATTTTAAAAATTTCTACATCCTGTTGAGCAGTATTTGATTGCTTTTATTGATAATTCGTACAATTCAATGATATAAATGTAACACTTTTTTTATTTTTTATTATGGTTAATGATAGAATTTTTAAAATTGGTAATGAAATTTTGTTGGTATTTAAAAACGTATGGAGGATGCCATGACAGGAATATGGAGAATGTAGACTGGTTCTTGCTCCTTAATTATTGCAGTAGGAAGGATTCAAGTTTTTGTTGCTGGGTATAAAGAATAAGCCAATTCCATTCATAATATCAGGTTGTGACACACACAAATACATACATGTAATGTAATTACATTTATTCATTACCATTATTGTAACTTCAAACATACATCTAATAAAGTTATTATAAGATTAATATAAGAAAATTTTCATATTTATTTGAAATCTCATACGAAAATCTGAATAAATCTGTTATGAGGTAGTTGTGAACACGCGATCTAGTTGTGGTGTTGTTAACTAGTCTAACCCCCCAACAGTTTAATTGTGGTCCTATCTCCGGTTCGTTAGTGGTTTATTGACTGCTAATAATTAATGAAAACGTTTTGGGCTATTAGGTTGTCTACTCTTTTATATTTTAAATAGGTTATATTTTACTACAATATACATTAATATAAATATAATTGGCCGTTTTTCGCTATTATTGTTTCCCATTAGTCTCTAAACTGTGCTAAGCGATTTCCAAAGCTTTAAAGATACAATTCAAGCTAAGAGAACTATTTTTTTTCCCACTGACAACATTATGTTACCTTAATTAGGTTGCGTGGTAATGAAAATTGAATATAATTAGTTTAGAGGAAGCACTAGAAATATAGTTTGCACTGAAGGTGCTCTAAATTTTCTGTTAATAGTTTAAAATGATCAAAATACCAAAACTACTTAAAAAAAATAAATAATAAAGCTACCAAACAGAAAATGCTTCCCATCGTCAGGTTTTGTTCTTTTTTTTTTGTTTGGTTCCTTTATTTCTCTACATAAATTTCGCATGTTATTCAGTTTATTAGGTGTACAATTTTACATGTAGATTTGGGAGAAAACAATATATACTTGTAGTTTACTCTGGAGTGCTGTACTTAAGTGTATTAAGAATTTTCGTTAGTATAAATACATTAAAAGGAAGGGACTTCCTGTCAACTTTTTTTGTGATTTTTTTATTTTTCCATATAAATTTCGAATGTTAATTAGTTAATTAATAAGTGACATATCAAAGACAGACTTCTGTAATTTTAAGAAAATGGTGAAAAAGTCAATTTTTGTTTTATAGGTTCAATTTAAACTGTTTCTGATGATTTTATTTAAGAATGTTTTAGTTGAATTGTGAATAGAAATCATTACAAATTGAAGCTATGATATAGAAAATTGGCTTTTCCTTAACTTTTAAAAATTATAGATTCCCGTCTTTGATATGAGACCTTTCATATGTCTTTATCATGTGTTTGAAAAAAAGGTTCTTATAATCCAAAAACCTATGCGGCATAAATATCATTCAGTAATAAAATATTTTTACATGAATGAATACAGTTCTACTGCCTATTTAAAGTAATAATATTGAATTTATACAGGGCAAGTTTCCATACTAATAGGTAAGCTTTGATGGTATCGGATATCCATAAACCCGTTCCTAAACTCATCGATAGCATTCAGATTGTTTCTTTATTCAGCGATTGAAGGGGTTATTGATTCTGTGTTAACTAACTTTAAATTTAGTTAAGTTTCTATCTGTATTTATATTTTAAAGTTCCATGATTCAGTAGGTAGTTATTTCCTACTATTTTTCTTTCCTAGTGCAATAACATGGTGTTTGTGTGTGTGGTAACAGTCTAGCTCAAAAACGAAAAGTCATAAGAAAGTGAAATTGTATATTTAAGTCAACTTTTACATCAAAATTGTCCAACCGGAAGTTGCACTTCATATTATCGATGTAACACATTTTTACGATTTTCTCATAAACGGCTTTAACGATTTTGATCAAATTAATTATATCAGTGTAAAATTAAGCAGTTGTAATATAATTCAGGTTTTTTTGTGATATATGTTCTCTAACAGAGCTTAAATGACTGAATTTCAATATTTTAGCTTCCTCTAAATACATTTAATTTTTTTTTATTTGAAACAATAAAACATTTCAAATTGATTTCTGATATGAAAAAAAGTTAAATTTTTTTTATTATTATTGTTATTTATATGATATTTGCAACTGCATTTACTAATCTAGTAAATTCGTCTATGAATATAATGACATGAAACACATGTTTAGAAACTACCCATTGGAAGCATTGTAATTAGTTAAATATAAAATATGAAAGAATTGGATAATTAACTAAAAGAAAATTAAGAGATCGTAACGAATATTAGTTGTAATGAAGGAACCAAAGGAATACGAGCGCGCCGGAAGATTAGAACAGGCTTCCATCCGTAACATGAGCTTAATATAATAAGGACTCCGACAATATTATGTACATATACATATGCGATTATCATGAATACTATTGTTGGTATTATTTAATCTTTAATTGTATATATTACAGCGATATAAAAATTAAAATTTGTATGTTATAACAGTACTTTAACAAATAAAAATACTCACAATGAAATTTAAATAAATATATCGCGTTTAATTTTTACTTTGTCTGAAAATACTTATTTCTGTTAAGAAGAGGATGGTAAGTGAAAGTCGTGTAATACGCACACCAGATTTTTGTATTGATTTTTCAATGCTTTGCAGCCTCTCAGGAATGTAAACCTATCACTGGAATCATCAGTTCGTCATTGACTCAACAGAAATATCTGTGAATCGCTGCCATATTCAAATGGCTGATGAAATAAGCGCTGAATTTAGGAACGTGCCCGTTTATTGCGAGGTGTATTAGTTAAGGAGATGGAGTAATAGGCTTTGAGAAAAGATAGACAAGATATTACGGATAGAAACGTTATACAAAAATAAAATAATTTACTCACCTGGATTCTTCTCAGAAATATCACTAGGTACTAGCTTGGAAGCGATCGCGTGATCTTGCATTTGCCTCAGTTCCTTTTCCACTTTGTCCGGCGTCGTCCACCCCCTCAGCCAGCAGAGTGACCTCATCGCCTCCACGTCTCTTCCCCTCAGCAGCAGCCAGACCGGCGACTCTGGGATCTGAGGAGAATTAAGGATATGCTGGTTTATTTATTGCATATTATATTATTTCCCATGTTATTGGTAAATTTTCAAATAAGTCCATAAGTCGTAAATACTTGTTAAAATAATTAACTAGTGTATTTATTTATATAAATTAGGCCATTATTCACCAACATTTTATTTATTAATTATTTTATCACGACAATGTTTCGATCATCACTAGGATCATTTTCAATTCTTATTTAGTCCTCCATTAAATTTCCATTATTCATTGTCGTATTAATTTTTCTGAGAAAATTTTACTGTCCTGATATTTTAGAGTTTCCCCTACGTCATTTCTGGAGGGACTCCCTCTGAGTCCTTCAGAAATGACTGACTATATTATTTATGAAAATTCTCGGATTTGGGGCGTTTTGAATCTGGAGATCGGCAAACTTTGTGTTTAATTAAGTACTAAAAGTTCATGACTACCCATTTGCTTTCCATTTGAATTGTAAGATCATATGATCATAAAATCGAAAAAAAGGTAGCCTTCAATAATATTGAGCCGTTTGGCGTGACCTACACTCCCAAATTGTCAAAATAACGAGGCTATATAGGCCAAACCGCCCAATATGTTTGTACATCACCTTTTATATCGATTTTGTGATCAAATCATCTTACGATCTAAGTGTAAAACATATTGGTATTTACGAGTTTTTAGTACCTAATTAAATAGACAAAGTTTGCCGACCTCTAGATTGAAAACTCCCTAACTCCCAGAATTTTCGTAAATATAATATTTTTAGATAACGATGAAATGAAGCTATTAACGAAGTTTCAGACGAGTACAGGTGAAATGGGGCAATGTACCACGGACTATTATTTTTGATCAATTGATATTAGATATTGCAGTTTTTTTTTGTTTTATGGCTTTTTGAACCAAGTACTACCGAGATAGATTTTAGTTTCAAATTATATTTCGTCTCAAAAATTATAATAGTGCCTAATTCAATTTTATTCACAAATTTATAAGAAATTGAAATAAACAGTAATTGTCTTGCTAATCGCCTGCTCCTTATATTTTGTTACATATTCCTAACGCAAAACGTTTTGGAAACATGTATGGTTACCTGTCGAACCCGTTTGAAGTCAAAAATGATTTACACGGTTTTAGAATATATGTGATTATTTATTAACGAGAATGAGCGCACCAGTTATAGACAGGGTGTTCAGTGGTGGACAGATTGGACTTTAAATGTAAATAATAAGCTTTCTAGTTGATTCCAGTCTTTTATAGATTGAAGAACAATTGAACCATTGAAATTGAAGAACCATTGCCAACTTTGTCAATAAAGTTCCCAAAAGAAAATTTTAAAATTCCTATCATTGTTGTTTCTATAGTGCTCTTGAGATCAATGTGTTTATACCTGCTTTATAGCAGTTTTACTAATAGCGATTTGAACATTTATGTTATGTTAGTTAAATAGAAATTTATAATTTTTCTGAGGTATATCCACTAATGGCACCTATGTTCTGTCTATTGCTACAAAAATTTCGGGGTGTCCATTACTAGCGCAAAATGTGTTTTTTTTGTTAATGGAGATTATATCTTCATAACTGAATATTTTCCAAAATAGAAACAGGAGATCCTAGAGATTCTAAATGTCCAACGGAGATGTTCATAATTATAATAATAACGGTGGCCTAAGCCAAAAAAGAAAGACACAAATTTCGTTAACTGGTGCGCTTACCCTACTATACTTAATTTTTGTTGTTTCATGTGTCTAATGTTGGCAGTCAGTGTCTAATGGCATCTGGTCCATCAGGAAGCTCATTCGTTTCTGAATGTATTAAATTCTATTTGAAGATACGAATCATAATAATTGAAAGCTTCTTTACCATCTTAAAATGAAGTAATCAATTTAAAAACATTTAATTAACAATAAAAATACTTTTTGGATACTATCTCATGTCGAAAACATCCTAGTGTTTATATGATAACTGATACAAATTGCAAGTAATAAAGTATTAATAACTAAATCACCTGAGCCGAGGCAATGAATTGGCGTTTATGGGAAGATGGCGCCCGGCTTTCCTGCTCGAGTAAATAATTAAACTAACCAATTGAATTAGTTGCCTCGTTGAACAGTTCAATTAACCTGGGATATACTTTCATTAATAAATTGCCCAATATATACCCGCTATGGGTCCTACCTCCTCAATTGCTGCTATATAACAGGCCGTTTTAACAATATTGCCAAGGAGATCCGCTATTGTAAATATAAATATTTTTTATTTATGAATTGGAAAGATTCAGTATCACTTTTGGCATAGCACTGTGAGGTGATGCATAAAAAATAAGAGATTTTTTGTTGTTATCCAGTTTTCTTTTCTTCCATCTAGAAGATTGTGTAGATTTTAGATGTATTTCATTTCTTACATTCCTCAATTTGTATACATATGTATCTTTTCCTATCTTAATCTCCGTGTTTTTTTTAAAGTTTACGATACCATTGTGTATTGTATAATATATATAAATAATTTGTTTTTTTTTTCTTTCTGGTTCCAATTGTTTTCTCATTAAATTAATTCAATGCCCCTTCCTAATTGTATTTATCTATCTATTCTTATTTTATACTTCTTATGCTGAGATAATGAAATATTGTGATCCCGTTGCTCATCTTCTGTCATTAATATATTTTTAATATATGTATATATTTTGTAAGCTTTAGCTGTTTGGGTTTTAACATAAGTCAATTTTTTTTATTGAAATACTTTTGATATTTTTTCTTTACTGGAGGCTTTGCCTTTTCTTTCTATACATGTAATTCTTTTTTCTTTTTGTTATTTTTTCCAGTAAAATTATAAGTATGGTTGAGAAGATTTTATTTTATTTTTTAGTAATTTACATACTGTTATTCAAGTTGTTGTATATATTGTTTTGAATCTTTATTAAGTTAGTTTTTGGCCAGATGTGTATTTTTTCTTTTGTAACTGTTCATTATTGCCATTCTAAGGGGACATCGTCCCAGAATAAAGTTTATTTTCTATTTCTATATATATATATTACAATTCATAATAGTTGTTTTAAATATTTTAGTTGACAATTAGAACTACAATTACTAATTGTAATATATAAAATTGGATATACATATATAATATGTATGATTATTTACTAGTTTTTATGAGTTATAAAATATGAATAAGAAAATTTATTTTGGAAAAAAAACTAAGGTATGTGCTTTAGACCACACGATAGAAGTGAAAACATCAACAAGGCGAGATTAATAATGTGAAATATGAATTATAAATAATAGCGCATTACAAAGAAGATGAAATACTGAACAATTCCCTCGCATACAGTAAGCAGGTCCGATTTTTAGTTTTTGAGATATTTTAATCCATATCTTCAATAAAAATCTTTTCCCAAAGACGGGAAAGTCGGCTATGATTTTGGATCCGACCGTGAGATATGAGACCAACGACCTCGATCAGGCAGGAAAAGTGGAAAGGGAGAAAAAACAGACATATGAGAAATGCATCCCTTTCCTTAGTGAAAAGTTCCGCGAGAGTTTCGGGCCGAGAGAGTTCCACGTGAGAGGCTTTTGGTTCGGAGCTCGCGGAACCATACCGAACTCAACAAGGAGCTTCATGGAGGGCCTTGGTGTCGACATAAAGGACGTGGCAAGGTTGGCAGAGAGTATAATCCTCGACTCCCTGGGAATCATCCACCACCATGTGCATGGGAGCGGATAGGGAAAGAGTTTGCTCGCGGGGGAGGGGGGAGGGAGGCATGCATGTGTTATAGCATCTTTATATTATTATTTATTGAACACGTCGACTGTACTTTATGTATTTTTTATGTATTAGGTTAGAAAGAGAGAGGAGAGAATGTGAGGACTGGGAACATGTATAGGGGGATAGAAAGAAGAGAAAGTGTACAGAATGATAATAAATGAATGAAAGAAATAGTAAAAATTAAAAAAAAAAAAAGGAGAAAAAAAGGAAAAAAAAAATATATATATATGTATAAAATATTGTATACTATGCTCATACATATTGTTAATCATATTGTTGATAATTGTAAAATCATTTTAAATAATGTCTGTTGTGATTAATAAGTATGCTGTGTTGTTAGCAACCCAATGTAATTGGGCAGCACCATTTTGTTTTATTTTATGATAATAAAGTGATTCTCTCTCTCTTTGGTTTTCGACACTACTTTTTTATTTTTTGCCTCTCTAACACGGCGTCGCGTCAAGATTAAATTTCGAATAATAGCTCATTGCAAACAGGAGAAAATGCTGAACAATTCCCTCGTTTACAGTATGCAGGTTTGATTTTTAGTTTTTGAGGTATATTAATCCAAATGCAAAAACACTTCAATTAGTTTACTGCTGCCGACTCAATCTAATACATTTTCCAGAGAAGAAGTGCAAACGCAGTTTTCACTTGAAAAACTGCTGCCGTGTAGTGTAATGCGGACTCTACACGGTCAGTAGGAATGACATTCCGAGACATGATTGACATTCTCATTGTATGAGGTTAAGATTGATATACTGATGAATGTGACTGACGGATAACCCAAAATCCTGAAATCAATGCCTCATTCACGAGAAGTGAGCTAGGACTGAAGTAAATGTGGTGGGGGGACTAACTTACCTACTAGGGTTGGCCAATGTACATTCCTAATTATTTTCATTTAAAATTAATATTTTTTCATATCCTTAGTTTGTTTTTTATAAATGATCTTCAAATTTTTTTTTTTTATATGTAGGCAATACATATAAAAAAAAGAAAGAAAAAAAATACAAATTTTACTTATTGAAAATGTTAATCTTTAACTGTTGTGTATGATATTTTTTATTTCTTTTCTTTTTTTATCTAGAATATTTATTATATATGCAATATTTTCCCTTAAGTTTTTTTTTTATTTACTGTACATAGAGTGTGAATGTGATCTGTGAACACTATTATTAATGTCCCTGAGACAGATTGTAATATATTTCAAAAAATAATTTATTTATAAAAAAAAA